TTTTTTTTTTTTTTGAATGAATAGCAAAAGACAAAAGCTATAGGTTCAAATGTTTTTACACCTCTGATTCCTACTTTCAGTGACAACTTGACTAAGTGGCTTTCGTTTTGGAATTCTCTTAAAAATTGTTTAGAAAAGAATAATAAGTTAAACAATATACAAAAAGTGTCACAATCAAAGGTTTTGGCAGGAGAAACAAAAAAGTTAGTGAAAGGTTATATGATTTCTGCTGCTAATTACGAAATAGTAAACGTACCTTGAAAGAAAGGTATGATAAACCTGAGGAAGCAGCAGAAATATTAGTAATAAAATCAGTTGATTTACCTGTAGGGAACAGTAGAATAATGTATTAAAATATGGAAAAGATCGAAAGAATATTACAACAATTAAAAGGTTTTAGAATAGATATTAATCATATAATAATTAGAATGCTTATTGAGAAAAAGATACCACTACCTATGCTAATGAAAGCGAAAAGGAAGCAATATGAATAAGATAGATGGAATGTAAGTAAACTGAGAGAGTTCCTGGAAAAACATTTGCGAAGTTACCAAGAAGCTAAGCAGCTTCAGGAATTAGGTCAAACAAAAGCAATGAAAGCCCTGGTTAAGGTACCAACGCAAAGGAAGAAAGAGAAATCTGCTTCATTGATGGCAATTAAGAAACCTTCGAAAAATAAAGAAGACAATACAGAATTGTCTGAGAAAAAAGAAGAATTGAATATTAATATAAATAGAATAAGAAAGACAGATAAGCTTTTAGGTAATAAAGTAATTGGCTCTTTTTCCGATTCGGTAAAAGCTCCAAATTGTTTGTTTTGCAGAGGGACACGTAGAAATGCTCAATGTCCCAAACATAATGCGGTGGATAAGGGAAAAAAGAGGGCCAAGGAATTGAAACTCTGTTTTAAATGTTAAAGAACAGATCATAAAACAAAAAATTGTAAGACTAAATTAAGACCTTGTTATCACTGTAGTCAAAAGCATAATGTATTATTTTGCAAAACTAGGAAAGGACAAAAACAACCAGTTAGTAGATCCTTTTTATCTTATATAAATAGATACTCTGAAAACAAAAATTATCTTTCAGATCACAGTGATACTAGTGGACATTTAAGATTAAAGATATCTAATGGTAAGTATGTTAGTCAGAAATGCGAGCTTATATCGCATGGCTTATCATATAATTGCGAGACAGTCTTTCTTTTTTCAATTGTTGAAAAGAACAAAGATTTTTTAATAGCTAAAGAAATAATAACAGAAAGTTCTCGTCGTTCTTTTTATAAAGCCAAAGTGGTAGCCCTTTTCAATACTATAAGCCAAGATTCTTTTATAAATAAAAAGCTGGCTAAAAGTTTGAGTTTAGCACCTACTGGGGTCATAACTAATTCAAAAATGAAAGGTGTTGGTTTAAATTCTTTTTATAATTTTAAAACCTAGAAAGTAGAATTAATGCTCATTGACTGCGAAAGTAATCCTATTAAGTTATCAGCTTATACAGTTCCAAATTTATCGGACAATATTCAAATCATAAAATTTCACTCACAATTACTGAAGGTAGAAAATGTGAAAGAAATAATGAAAAATACTCAATGAAAACAGTTAAACTTTCGTTAGGTAATTCATGTTCTTGTAGACTACTAAAAGGATCTAAAACACTGAAGTCAGGCTACATTTATATAGATACAAAACTAGGACCAATAATCACTGTTCGACCTCCAACGGAAGCTGAGAAAATACTTTTCATTCAGTAGAATCTTCTCATAGAATTGATATAATTAAGAATATTGATTCCTTCTAGAAGTTAGAGTCAGTAGGTATTAGTGATAATCCAGAACAGAATGACGATAAAAAAGCTTGGAAGCATTTTCAAGAGACAGCAGTAAAAGATAAAGGAAGATATGTGATTAGTTGGCCATGGAAAGAGAATGGACCAAAATTAGCAGATAATTTTGGACTTTGTATAGGTAAATTAAGATCTTTTTGGAACAAATTAATCAAGAATGAAAATCTTCTTAATCAATACAATGATATAGTAAAAGACCAGATTAAAAAGGGAATAATAGAAAAAGTAGGTCCTTAGGTAAAAAACAATTTAGTACATTATTTACCACACCAACCAATGGTAACACCTAATAAAACCATCACTAAATCGAGGGTGGTACGTGATGCTTCTGCAAATACAAATACTTGAGTGAGTCCGAATAAAGCTCTGTTTTAAGGGCCAGTTATGCTTCCAGATTTGAGTAGGATTCCATCACGATGGAGGAGGGGAAACTTTGCATTAAGAGCAGATATAGAAAAAGCCTTTTTTTGAATAGAAGTTAATGACAAAGATAGAGATGTCACACGTTTCCTATGCTCAAAGAATCCCTATTCTTTTTCAACACCAAATAATTTGTTGACACTTAGTTTTAGAAGACTACCTTTTAGAATTATATACAGTTCTTTTATTCTGGCAGCGGTGATTAAAACTCACCTTTAACAACATACTTCTCCAGAAACAGACAATATTTTACAAAATACATATGTAGATAATATAATATTAACTACTTTAGACCAGAAACAATTCCTGAAGCATTATCAAGCATTCAAACTTAGTTTCAATAATGCTAAAATAAATATAAGACAATTTTCAAATAAACAAAATTACGGTTATAATAATATACCAATAGAAGATCAAAATGAGAATGATGAGTTATTAGTATTAGAAATTTACTGGAAGCCCCGTACTGATATTATAAAAATGAAATTCAAATCCTGAAAAGGTCGACCAGATACTAAAAGAAATATTTTACCGTTTATAGCTAGCCATTTTGACTCATTGGGGTTAATAAGTCTTACTACTTAACCATTGGGAAAATTATGTTAGAAATTAGGAAAACGAAATTATAATCAGGATGAGTTGTTAAAATCAAGTTTAATGAAAGTATAGAAAAGATTAGTAGAATCTTTTGAATTTGCCTAATTAATACTTGATGAACAAGTTTTACCAAATAGAAATTGGGAATTACATGTATTTATTGATGTTTCCAAAAATGGATATGCAGCTACAGTGTATGCAACAGTAAAAGTAGAAAACACTATATATTCTAGTATTATATATGCAAAAAGTAGATTAATGCTTGTTAAACCCACGACAGTACCTAAAGCTGAGTTATTAGCAGCAGAGGTAGAAGCAAAATTAAGAAATTTATTAAAGAACAATTAAACTTAGACAAAACAATGTTGACAGCATAGACTGACTCAAAATGTCTTCTGTATTGGCTACAATCAATAAACCTTGATAAAAAACAAAGATTTATATATAATTGTGATAAGACAATAAAAGATTTAGAGATAAAATTTAGATATGTGCCATCAGAAGATAGTCCAACTGATATAGGATCAAGGAGATGTACTCCAAATGAATCAAAAAATAATGACCACTGGTGGTCAGGTCCAGATTGGTTAAATAGACCTTCTAGTAAATGACCATCAGATATAAAATTAGATATGAATCGATCTAGTACTGAATTAGAAGAAAAAGATAAAGAAGAAAAAATTAATGTATTTTTCAATTACATAAATTAATCTATAAAGGGGAAAGTTGAAACTTTATTTGATTTAAGTAGATACTGTACTTTTAAACGACTTGAATGTGTAGTAAAAAATTTAATAAAATTTATAATGAAAACAAGAAGACAACCCTTTGATGACACGATGTTAAACCTTGAGTCTGAAAATATATTAATTGAACAAGCTCAAATAAAAATTGATGATACCAAAATACAATAATGAAACCTACAAAGAGATTCAAACAATTATGCTCGTTTAGATGATGCATTCTATTGGAAACCTCCCGTATATTTACCTAATGATAATATACTCAAGCATATGCATGCTAGAATTTTGCATACGCGAAGTAGTTTAAGAGAATATTCTTGGTTCAAAAAGGGAAGACAAACTGTGTCTAAAATCTCAAGAAAGGAATGTTACTATTGTAGAAGATGGAAATTGAAATTATTTAAACTACCAATAATGTGTAGTCTACCAATTGAAAGAGTAATTTCTTCACGAACCCTTGAACATGTAGGTCTAGATTATATAGAACCAATTAATGTAGATAGTTCTACTTATAGAAAAGTTATTATTTCTATAGTATAAATTGCTTTATTTGCTTGTTTTACTACTAGAGCAATACATTTAGAACTAGCCATAACTACTTCTACTTTAGAACATATCTTCTAAAGATTTATTGCAGTTAGAGGCAAACTTGAAAGTATCACTTCAGATAATGCACCTCAATTTATTGCGTTAGCTAAGAATTACAGTATTAAATAGAAATGCATAGCTGCTCATGCTCCATGGAAGGAAGGAGTATATGAAAGACTAGTAGAATT